TTTGGTTACAACGATAACTCTTTTCCACCTGATCATTCCATACGATACCTCACGGACTACCGCTTTAGTCTACCTCGCCTTAGTACGGACCGAGCCTAGAGAAGTATAGCCTAACCCCGTGTAACAGTCGCCGGTTACGATGTGGAGGTTCTTGAAGCCTTTTGCCGTGGCGACCGAGTCAATGTGCTGTTTTTGCGTGCGCGAGTTGGAGAAGCCGGTTATGGAGCTGTTGGGGAAGATTTCGGCGAGGTAGAGGGATAGGGAGCCCCAGCCGCAGCTAGGATGGGCTGTCAATTCTTATGTCTCTTCGGAGAAAAGAGACGTTGATTCCGCATGCCAGATGGGATGGGATGGACACGTGACATGCCCCATACCACCAACATCCAACACACAACGAAAGATGAATCAAGAACCAAAGAATCCAGGGAAAAAAAAAAGAGAGAACCACTTACCCCAAGTCCAACACCGTCATCCCATCCTTCAACCCCGCCCTCTTAACATACAACTCCATCATCCTCACCTCCGCCTCCCCCAACGTCTCCCCACCCTTCTCATACAAACAAGCCGAATACTTCATCCTCGGCCCCAACATACCCTTTAAAACCTGAGTGCCAACTTCATAATGCTGGTCATTTGCTTTCGCCGTCTCAATCGCAATGGGCCGTTGGCGCAGCAGCTCCACGTACTTCATTTTCGACTCGTAGCCCGCTTCCAGCGAGGTCGTGGCAATGGAGGAGAGGCGGTCGGCTAGCTGGCGCCGGATGCCTAGGCGAATGGCGGCATGGGGCAGGTAGCCGTTGTCGATGAGGGGGTTGATTATGCCATCTGAGTTGACAAGGTCTGTTTAACAGCGTGTTAGGGTCGCACCGTGTGCTTGGAGTTTGATGGATGCGTGGTTACTTGAGATGTAGTTCATGGTGAGCAGCAAATTTGGTCGCGACAGCAGCCCCTTGCTTTTTGTGCAAAGTCGGATATCAATTGAGATGGCGAAGGAGGTTTCTACTTGGAGCAAGCTACAAAACACGTATTCGAAAGCTATCGCGGCTTTTAGGCCCCATGTTGCTTCCGGCTTGTCGCGCTTCAGAAGGCGTTTCGTTGTAAGCCTAATGCGGATTAGTGCTGGCGTATGATGACGTAGACGATCTCACTGAATAGTAACAACGGTAAGCACTTTATCGTAACGACAAGTAGCCTCTGACATTGAACACGATGATATTTGCGAAGCCTGAGTTGAACATCGGGAGTGTAGCATTTACAAAAGCCAATCAGACGATGCGCGCGTGCTGCGACGGGAGATCAGCGCACTAAACGACTGCGGGAAGCGCATGGTGAGCATGCCGCGCTATATTACGCCATTCAAGATTCAAGTGGCTGCGTGCTTGGTTTGCTGGTATATGCGATGTTGCTGGTGGGCTAGTATCACTCCAATGTTAGGCATAATGCTAGGTGCGCGCGTCGACTGGTGAGCAGATGCAGTAGCCGCATTTCGACGGTGTTACCCAAAAATAGTTTACAAAAGCGCGTTATGCAATGCACCGTGAAGATAGACATGTAGTCGACCTGCTAACCGGGCTCATAAATCCAAGCGGATTGAACATGGCATGACTCCCAAGTCGGCCCAGCAACGCCATACATCTGGTACACTCTTGCGTCATTGCTTCCTCAAAAACACCGACCATCTCGCATCGCTAGAAGGGAGTGGGGTGTATGCCTCATCCGTGTTGCCTCCATCTTTTACAGGAACGAACTCAGGCTGTTCATTCTGTTTGGCCGTTTCATGGTCCAGTCTCGCCTTGCGCTGAAGTATGGATACTCTCTTATAAAGCAAGAATCCGATAAAGAACAATAGCACCACGCCAATGCCTGCTCCCACGGCTATACCTATCTTGGCCCCAGTACTGAGGCCAGATCTCGAAGGACGGTCTGCTTGTTCTGGACTCGACTTTGGGTCCGCTGTCGCTGAGACGAGCTGGCTGCGATCTGGCGGTACTGCTGTTTCGCTTTGCAATCCCAATATGGTCCCCACCGTCGTCGTGACAGAAAGCGCAAACGTATTACTCGGCAACAACGCCTCAGCAAGCTCCGACGCATACCCTGTGTCAAATTTCTCCAGATCTGACTCTTGCCAGTAAACGAGCATCGCGTTCATCTGCGCGACACCTGTACTGATCACGGTAGAATTATTCCTCGAGTCCGAATCGCTGGTCACAAAGAACCAAATGTCACCGTCGGAGATGGTTTGGCCGCCGACTCGTTCTGGATTGTATGCAGTGAGGGGCGTGGTGAAGCTGGACATGCACGCTCCCAAGGATGATATGAAACCTCTGTCAGGATACCATGGTCAGCGAGAGTATTTATGCAGTTTGTTACCATTCTGGGCTGACTAGGCAGATCTAAATCAAGGTAACACATACTCTTTGCAACAATGCGCTCCCCATGCGCGAGCACCACCGGTGGTCCAAGTTGGTGTTCTGTACTCTGTTAAGTCAACCATGGTGAACCCGGGCAGGCAAGTCCCTGGACTGTGGGTAGGCTGTCCACCAGGCATTTCACACGCATACGGGATCGAAAGCGTAACTCTTGGGACGACATCGCTAGGTTGTGACAAGACATTGCCGACCCGCCAGTTATCAGTACAGTGAGAACCGAACGTGAACGGGGTTGTGAGGGCTGACCAGATGTTGCGCGTCGGGTAGAATTTGTCGGAACCGAGGACCATGATGCTTTGGGTGACATTTGAGATGCCCGCCATGGTGGGCAGGAGATTGCCGAGGTGGCAACGATCGAGGAAAGGCTTTTATGTTGTTGATTTGGGAGGCGACACCTCAGATATGGGTACTGTCTCTAGACCCAGGTAGATTAGACGGGACGCCCCCGTTTCGGCACGCTCTAAATCCGTCACCGACATTAGCAGTCGATGTCATATTCGCGATGGCGGTGCCGTATATGAACAAGGCACACACGTCGCCGAAGAAACCAATTATTGGTCGTCGAGCTGAGTTCCCTACAGTGCCACAATTCCAAAGTTGAATTCCTTTGTGTCTCCTTCATCACTTTTCGCAAATTGCAGAGGCGCAGCCTCGCGCGGCACGGTCAAAACTCGCTTACAATTGGGCGTGGTACCGGTTTGATCTATCCCTTAGCATTACTATTAGAGAATCCCGCTTTGATAACCTTCCTGATTACGATTTATCCTACCCTTTATGCCGTCTGCATCTGTGACGCCCTCTGCACAAACTCAGGTTGTTGATTCTGAATCGCAGAATTCCTATCAAGCTTCTTCTCCCGTCTACCCACCCTCCTTTTGTACAGTAGAAACCCCGCTAAAGCCACCAATAGCGTTCCAACTCCTACTCCCACGCCGATACCCGCCTTCGCCCCACTACTGAGACCAGAACCTTTTGATCCTCCTACAGCCTCACCGAGATTCGATGTTGCGGATGGAAGTTGACTACGATTAGGCGGTGTCGCTGTTTCAGACATAACTCCCGAAGTAGCTGTGGGAGTAAAGCCAATGGACAGGTGATCCGCTAATGTCGCTGCGTACTCGGGATCGAACTTTTCGAGATCGGATTCTTGCCAGTAGACTACCATGGCGGCCATTGTCATGGTTCCCGAGCTGAGGATGGTGGCATTGTCCGTTGCGCTGCGGTCCAAGGAATCAATGTAGGTTGTGGTTTCTCCAATGGAATTCGTGCTGCTGGTTGTGAAGGCTACTGGGTTATAGGCTGTAATTGATGTACTGAACACTTTTGTGCAAAGGCCCCCTCTCCCGACGCCCATCGGGGTCATGTCACTGTTAGTCGAGTCAGCTGAAGTGAATATTTGCACAGTCGTTCCTTCGTTGATGTGTTACAAGCAACAAAAGGAACTCCACCCTTGATGAAGGAGTTGGCGCGGAACGCCAACCGACGACCACGTCAGAAGGTAACGATCAACGCGGGGCGCTGATCACGTGACTGACATCCCGCCAAGG